CGAGCGCGAGTCGGTGAGAGGGCACGCGCGTGCGAGCGCGAGTCGGTGAGAGGGCACGCGCGTGCGAGCGCGAGTCGGTGAGAGGGCACGCGCGTAAGCATGTGGATATCTGCGTGCGTGTATAGCAACGTGTGTGCCCATCTGCCCATCCCCTCCTGATTTGACCAAAACTTTTTTCACTCCCCTCCTCTGTGGCAGTAGGGCACCGAGCCAGGACTGCCCCTCCCTGCCCTCCCCGGGCATCCCCGTGTCCCCCATGCTGGGGCAGAACCCTCCTAACTGCCCCCACGACCTGAGTCCAGGGCAGGGCCCTCCAAGGTGAGAGGGCTTGTGCGCCCTGCATCAGCTCCACTGGACCCCCTCTGCGTCCCCCCTCCTCTCTCCCTCCCCCTCCCTCTCTGCCTGTCCCGGTATCCCAGGGGGCTGTGCTCTTGGCATGCCACCACGTGGAGACTCCCGGCCTTGTTCAAGGTTCGAGGGTAGTGGGTGGCCTTAGCCCAGATAGGGTGGTGGGTTGACTTGTGTGCTGTGGGCCATGGGGACGTGTTTCTCTCTCAGCTGGGGACCCTCAGCCCTGTCTGTCCCAGTGTCGGTGTGTTGTGTAGGGTGAGAGGGACTGGTGCAGTTGGAGTCTCACGATGTTGGGACAGTGGTGTTTAAGTGATAGTGGGTGAGCCCTGTGGTGTTTTAGTGATAGTGGGTGTGCACTGTGGTGTTTTAGTGATAGTGTGTGAGCACTGTGGTGATTCTGGTGGCTGGGCATCTCGAACTAGTGTGTCCTTGTACATCTCATCCACCTCTCCTGCCAATCCTTCTCTCTCTCCTCTCTCTTTCCTGCCCTGGTCCCTGATCCCTCCCTCTCTCCTCTTTTCTGCCCCGATCCCTGATGCCTCTCTCTGTCCTGCCCTGATCCCTGATCCCTCATTCTCTCCTCTCTCTGTCCAGACAACTCCAGCAGCAGCAGCAGTCGGAGCTCGAGATGGCGTCTGGGCGGGAGGGTCTGGGCTCATACGAGGCTGGCGGGCAACACAGCAGCCTGCAGCTGCCTCTGGGCCAGGTCAGAACCGACACCGGTGCCGTGTGTCCGGTTTGTGCTCATTGTCATTCAGACAGGCTCCTCTGGGCCGGGTCAGAACCGACACTAGGGCTGTGTGTGACAGCATGCTCTCTGTCTCAGGCTCCAGTAACAGCTGCAGGACCAGAACACAGCAAACCCCTGGACAAGACTGAGGGCCTGTACCCCCCTGAGAGAGACCCCCGATACAGCGAGCTGTACACAGGTACACACGCTCTGTAGCCCCCTGACACTCCAGTACAGCCAGCTGTACACACACCATATCTCCTCAACACCCCGATACAGCGA